TACACATGAACAAAAACCATTATAATGATGTTGTTTTCTGACGTTTTAATTTAAATCAGTTTTACGTTCCAAGATGGATCTCTATATTTTAACAAGCTGGATGCGTTATTTGGGTTTAGGCTTCTTGTAAGATTGGTATGAAGTTTTTAAGTAGGTATCCATGTAATGATAAACTGTAATAATAAGCTTTCACTAAATTTTCTTTTAAAGAATATTTGTTTTTTTTTCTAGCATCATCTGATACATTACAGATACGTCGTGTATCGTTACACTCTCCAAAATGACTACTTTTTTTTTTAAAAGATGCTGAAATTATAATTACAGTGGAACCCTGTTATAACACGACAGTTGGGATCCATGAAATGCGATCACATTAAATGTTGGATTACATTATTTCGGGGTACCCACAAATGGTCATTTTCCATATCCCTTGCTTTGTTATTTGGTAAATAAAGTATTGTGTGTCCAAATTATCGCATGATAATTATCGCTTATTAATTACATTGTTGACAAGGTTAAATGTAGTACAAAGTTTATTGTTTTGCACGAACAAACATGTGGTGCGTGAAAATACAATACTGAATATTGCTAACGTTTCATAGGCCTAACTTTAAAGAATAGAAATCAAGCACACAAAACTTACAGCCGATAAATACCAAAGTTGTGTAAAAAAATTAATAACTTGTAAAGTGTCTCACAAATTCATTGTTTATTTCTTTTTAAAAAAAATCATCTAATGTTGATTATCTCATTCCTGGTGATTTCTGGCTGCGAGCAAAATCTTGTATGCTTCTCGGCTGTAGGATGTGTATGCTGTCAACACCTTGGCTTTCAAGCCATCGGTTACTAGCTTCAAGGTGTTCTATTGGTTCAGTGACCTTAGGAGGTGGGGCTGGTAAGTCATCATTATCACCTTCAGTAAACTTTGGGTCGGTTTATGTGGGTACTGGTTCAAAACTCTCTCACACCAGGCGTACGTCCTCTTTCATGAACCCTTCAGAATCCTCATCCTCGTTCTCAGAAAGGGGTAGCACACGGGAAAAGCTGAACCAAGCCCCTTGACCCATTGCATTCCATACAGTGTGGAGAGTTGGCTTTACCTCCAAGAAGGCAGACTTCTTTCATATTCAGTGGCTGATGAGGTTTTCTGCATGAGGATGCACTGGACAGTTATCCAACAAGGACAATTCTTTTTAAAGAAAAATTGGCAAAATTATTGAATTACATTACAAAATTTTAATTGAAAACTTCAAACTCACGAATTTAGTGATAGTAAAATTGGGAGCCAAACATTGGTTGCGCTATATCTGAAATCACTTTTAACGCTTTAATGGGGTTCTACTGTATTACGATTAAAGATACGGACTTTTTTTTATTAAATATTGATAGTATACTATATGCTATTATTCTATTTCTATTTTTTAAAAAATCTGAGTGTAATGTGTAACTTTCCTGTAGCAAGAGCAATGTGTTTTTCTCTCTCTCTCTCTCTCAGTATCATTAACTGCTAATATGTTTCTAAACTTTGTGTATGAGTAAATATACAATGATGTCAGTGTGGAATGAGTGAAAGAAGAATTGTCTATTTTTCTTGATTCTTTTCATTTTGTCTTTTTTCTTCTTGCACAAAAATAGCATAATGCCAACCTTTGAATTGTAAGTAAGTCATGTGGTCTTGTTGGGGTTGAAAACATTTTTCTGTTGTTACTGATTGGTCTACTGGTGTTGAAAACATTTTTCTGTTGTTTCTGATTGGTCTACTGGAGTTGAAAACATTTTTCTGTTGTTTCTGATTGGTCTACTGGGGTTTAAAACATTTTTCTGTTGTTACTGATTGGTCTACAGGAGTTGAAAACATTTTTCTGTTGTTTCTGATTGGTCTACTGGGGTTTAAAACATTTTTCTGTTGTTTCTGATTGGTCTTCTTGGGTTTTAAACATTTATCTGTTGTTACTGATTGGTCTACTGGGGTTTAAAACATTTTTCTGTTGTTTCTGATTGGTCTACTGGAGTTGAAAACATTTTCTTGTTTTTACCAGTTTTATCCTATTTTAATTTTTAAGTCTTTTTTTTTATATCAACTTGGAATACCAGCAATTAGTAACCACTGAAATGCAAGTTATATTGAAAAACTGACAGAATATTATTTAAACAAACACAGGTTCAAAATGTGGCTTCAATGAATTATCAACTTATCTCTATGCTCATTTTGTAAAGCTTTAGGTAATGGTTTATAGGAAGTTTTTGTTCTGAGAGATTTAATTGGAACATTTAATGATTGTTTCATTAATTAGTTTCTGAATATTGCAGTCCTGGTTATAAGCTGTATTTCTGTACAGGGAAAATTCCAATCATAGTTATTCGTCAAATTTTCTTTCTACTTGGTGTAAAGATTGAAGGTTCAAGTGGTGGTTAACATAACAGATTGTCTTTTGGCTTGGTGAAGGTTCAAATGATGGTTAACATAACAGATTGTCTTTTGGCTTGGTGAAGATTCAAGTGATGGTTAAAATAACAGATTGTCTTTTGGCTTGGTGAAGATTCAAGTGGTGGTTAACATAACAGATTGACTTTTGGCTTGGTGAAGGTTCAAGTGGTGGTTAACATAACAGATTGTCTTTTGGCTTGGTGAAGATTCAAGTGATGGTTAACATAACAGATTGTCTTTTGGCTTGGTGAAGGTTCAAATGATGGTTAACATAACAGATTGTCTTTTGGGCTTGGTGAAGAATCAAATGATGGTTAACGTGATGGTTAACATAACAGATTGTCTTTTGGCTTGGTGAAGATTCAAATGATGGTTAACATAACAGATTGTCTTTTGGCTTGGTGAAGGTTCAAGTGGTGGTTAACATAACAGATTGTCTTTTGGCTTGGTGAAGAATCAAATGATGGTTAACATAACATTTCAGCTTTTTTCTTATTAAGCATGAAAACAATGTTTCTTTTCGAAATGCACAAGTTTTTTGGCAAAAGATTATATGAGTATTTGGTAGTACCACTGTCCTGGTTTACAGACTGGAGATTTCTGTGAAATGAAATTATTAAACTTAAATTTGTGAGTGTTAGTTTTTGGTAAATGTTCACATGGCTCGTGTAGGAACAAAAGGTCTGCTTATGATTTTGTAATTGATCATTTAAGTAGTATTCTAATAATATCTGAAAGCTATCTTTGTGATGATTAGTGGTTAAGACTTGCCTGTTTTTCAAATTAATTCACTGGTAATGTAATCGTTTATTCACCAAACTTGCCATTTCTAAAGTGAGGCCAAGTCAACACTGTTGACTGTAAGCTTTTACGTATGTCGTTCTATTTAGGGCTATGGCTGTAATTTCTGTGCGCGCGCGTGTGATGTAGTAGCCGTAGCTTATTCCCTCCCTTATTTCATCATGTATACATTTTTACTTAAATCTATAAAAGGTTATTTCTTCCTATAAAGTGGTTATAACCGTAGGGTCTTTTTTATTTCCTTTTATGATGTAAAATACAGGATGTGTGGTATGGTTTCTGAGGCGTGGAATTCATTGAATTGGAGTTCAAAGCTATACAGTTAGCTTTGGTGCTTGTTACCGTATAACATTGCTTTAATTTCTTCCGCTGCTTAGTTTTTAACTCGGAACAGTGTGTATGCAAGATTCCTGTGGTGTGGTCTCTGTTCTAACGTTTCTTGAATACCAATCGATGTTTTACTTTTTGGATAAAACTTCTAATTTTTAAGACCTATGATAGAAATTACAGTAGCTTCTTTTTTTTAAATATGTTCTTTATCAGTTACACTAATTTGGTCAGTTACTCTATCACAGACTGTTGTTAT